TTAACTTAAAACAACATAAATTCATTACATTACGGTTCTGTAGGTCAGAAATCCGACAGTGGTCTCCTTGGGCCGAAATGAAGGTGCTGGCAGGGCTAGTTCCTGCTGGAGGCTCCAGGAAGAATCTGTTCCCTCCCCTTCTCGAGCTTCTAGAGGCTCCCCGCACGCCTTGGCTTGTGAATCGCTTCCTTCATCTTCAGAGGCAGCCACAACCAGCCGTTCTCTCACACGGCCGGCCGGGCTCTGACTGACGTCTACCTCTCTCTTCACCTTTAAATACCTTTGTGATTGCATTGGGCCCACCTGGGTAAGCTGGGCTAGTCTCATCTTCTTACGGTCAGCTGACCAGCAACCTTCATTCCGCCCGCAACCTTCAATTCCCCTTTCTTTACCTTAGACCCTAACATAGTCACAGGTGCAGGAAATTAGGATGTGGCCATCCTGGGGGGGGCAGGGTATTATCCTGCCTACTACATTATTGCCTGGCAAAAATACATTTTATTTTTACACTCTACTTCTGAGCGAACTAAATTTCAAAGGAGTTAAATAGCTTTCCCAAGGATTTTGAGCCAATGCCATTTTCTGAGGAAAGTGAAGGTACTCACATAAACGGTTTTCCCCCAAATTATCATCTTGCTCAGAACTTCAGTTTTGTTCTGAGTGTGTTGCTTTTGCTCTTCTTACTCTTGAAGAAATCCTCTGCTATTTAAAGGACTGCACGTTTTGTGCCTTTTCTGTTTCAAGAGTCCCTGGTGAGAAAAATGATTCGGTAATTAAGTAAGCGACTCACCTGGAGCAAGAAGACAGACAATATGGTAAGAAGAAAAAAAAAGAAACTTTAGTCCTTAAGCCAAAACCCTGATGTTTTTAAAGACCCACATGCTTAATTAGTGTCAAGGAAATGTCAGAGGTAGACATCAAGATATTAAATTTCAGTTTAGTTGGATATACAATTTGCTGCCAACTTGTACAGTATCCATTCCAGAGAGGTACATGTGATTATGACCATTTTCAAGAGGAGGAAATTGAAGCTTAGAGAACCCAAATGCTTGCCATGTAGCCTTTTGGCTGGTCTTTGCTTTGACCCTGCATGTCCCTGGGTCTATATGGATGTCTCTGGATTCAAAATTTTCCACGACACTGTGCCCTAGTTCCTCTGCCCTCTAATATCCTTCGCCATCTCCGAAAAGTTTGATTTGCAGAACATTCCATCTGCTTGCCTTCTGGTTTGAAGAAAGCCTTGATCTTTACTCTGATTTTAACTCTGACACGATGAAAATGCAGAGAAATTAGTGGTTTGTTCAGTGCAGTGATTTAGCAACAGGATTGGAATAAATAGTATTTTAAATTCCCAGGAAAAGGAATGAATGTTATCCTTATCACACAGCTTCTAGCAAATTAAAAAAATGCACAGAACTTCTTTCAAAGTAAGGTGATAACGGATAAACTTTGAGACTAGCGTGAGATACTTGAAAAAAATTTTAAAAAGCTTTTCTTGGTACAAGATGTCAAAAAGCCAGCCGTGAATAACGAACAATTGTATCAACAGTCTCAGAATGCATACTCCCCTGTGCTGTGTCCTTCCAGAATTAGCATTGCTACCTAGAGTAAATGGGTTCTTACTCTTTTGTTGCCTAATTTTGTATATGAGGTATACTTAGCAATATTTCCTTACCTCCTCCAATTGTCAAAACCCCATTCATACTGTCAAATGCAACTTGAGTGTGACTTCCAACAGGATGTCTTTGTCATGCTAGGAAATCACCCTGAATTCTCAGATTGTGTTTTCTCTCTCTCTCGGCACATCACACGTTTAACTGCATGTATTTGTCTATATTTTAATGTCTCTACTATAGTAAAAGGCCAGCTGTTTTAATTTATTTTTATCTCTAACAACCCAATAGAAAGTGATCTTCTAATGACCATTTTATATGCAATATAGTGCATCACACATAAAAGGTGCCCAACATTTGGTCAGGGAGTGAGCAGGTGTAGTGGACAATTGTAGTGCCAACCAAAGAATAGCATTTTATCTTGTTTTTCTTTTCTATTATTTTTATTTTTGCTTCTAATACAATACCTTGAACATAGCAGTTGCTCAATAAGTGTTTACTGCTATAATTGTTTAAAATAGTAAACATTTAAAAAAAATAACAAAGGCTTATGCAAAGTAGTAAATTGGAAAATACATTGTTTTTCATAAAAGTTATGTGCTTTGGGAATTATTAGCTACAAGTGAGTTGATTTTGAGAGGCTAGAAATGTATTTTACAGAGATGTAGAGAACTCTGAAAGTAAATTCATACAGGTTTTGAACTTCAGTATACCTTGGTTTGGTCCCTGACCTTATCATTTACTATCTTTGTGAATTTGAGCCAATTAGCTACCTTTTCTGAAAAGAAATTCACCATCAGTAATATAGGAATTAACTCACATAAACTCACAGGAGAGTTACATCAAATGGACACTTTTTTACAAACAACCTATATTATGGGCCTTGCTCACAATAAATAATCAGTATTATTTCTCTTCCTTCCCACCTTCTTTTATTACCAACTTTGTTTTTTAAAATATTAAATCTAAGTAAAATATCTAATGTCTTCATTTTGGTTAAACAAAATTAAAATTGACACATTCAAAATTTAATATGCACAATGTAATCCAAACTGAGATATTTTGCAAAGCTTTTAAGAAATATCTAGTGTTACTGGTGTTGTGGGCGTGTTTCTTTTCCTTTCCCTTCTAGGAATACTGCTTTTCTTCTTTTGGGAAACTGCCCTTCTACTCTGTAGGGAACCAATGATTGTAATTTCTACAAACATTCTCACTTCCCCATGGCTTATTCACATGGGTAGGCATGTTTCTAAAATGGGCCAATTGGTTTTTCTCTAGGATTTGTCAAATTACTGCAGTTAGATCCTGTGCTTCCCCTGGGAAGGAAGCAGAGAATCTTTGAGCCTGGCATGGTCGACCATCATGGCTTCCTTTTGTAGAATGTCGATCTGCTATAATAAAGGAGACACATGAAAAGGAGGTCCAGTTACTCCTACTTGCCCCAGATTTGGTAATGGACACCAACACAATCTCTAGTTTTGGCTAACCTAGCATGAGTTTGATTTGTAACCGAAGTCAAACAGAAGCAGTGAGTCACCCAGAATTAGCTGTACCCTGCTGCCCCCTCCCTGCTCAACCTCTAAACATTAACATCCGACCCCCAGGTAATCACGTTACTGACCAGGTGGAGCATTTAGGTCTGATCACTGTATAATTTATTGGCTTCTGTTTCAGTTGTAGGCTGTATCCTTTGGTCAGGGTTTGGCAAATGCTAGGATTTTGTATGGATAGAGACCAAATGAGAGACTGTGGCCAGATCAGCCGAGCCCTTTAGCATTTTCAGGGGATAAAAACCCTTTGGAGCACATGCTTTGTGTTCACGGAATGACTGTGAGCACAGTCAGCTGAAGGCCCACAAATTCCCCCACCCTGCATTAAGCAGCGTGTGTCCAGCCATCTCGTAAACCTGAGATCCAGCGTGCTGGGGGCAGGAAGCTGTGACCTGAATCCTCTGCATTGGATTCCCTGGGTCTATGGAGACTGAGATACCAAACTAAATAGCTTCGTACATAAATCAACACATCTTACATCCAGGGTAATTATATTTCTCTTTTTTGGTCCATTTTTCTGTCATTCCCCTCCTGTTCATCTTTTCTCCCACACCTCCTCCTTTCTCCCAAATGACATTTTTTAAATGACTTTAAAATATGCCATTTTCACATTATAGAAATATTTAAAATGCAGGAAAAAAAGGAAATAAGAATCCCCTGTAATATCATTAATCAGTGATATTCCCTGTTAATTTTTGGCACATATCCTTCCAACTCCTTTTCTATGCAACACTATTTTAACATAATTGATATAATAATGCATATTTAACATTGCATCCTTTTCATATCTTCTTTGAACAAAGCCAAACATTTTCTGCTGTTATTTTTTTCTCCCTGTTTCTTTGATATCATGGATAAAGCTGCTGTCACCATCTTAGCATTAACATCTTGGACGCCATATTTCAGGGAACATAGAGCTTGCAAAGCATGTGTGCTGAAGGATTAACACCAAGGTAATCAATAATCCAGGTACTTGATCCCCTTTTTGTCTTCTTGGAGGTAAACTTTCAGGATGCATTATAATTTGAGATGATCAGGTCAGAAATGACAGCAAGTGCATTTACAGAAGTCGAATCAGATGTTAATATGCCTGGTAAACCTGAAAAAACCATTAGTTTGGGTAGAAAGAAAATCCAGAAGTATCAAAATTAGTCACAATGGCTAGACTTCCAGTCTTTCTACAGTGCCCAAGCTGAGAGCTCATCCTCGTTTCCGGCAAGAACCAGTGCTCACTCTTCTGCCAGGCTTCATCAAACGGCAAAATAGAAGCAATCTAACTATGAAGTTGAAAATGCTTAGTGTTTCTCACTATTTTAGAGGAAATGCAAAAAACAAAGGAGCTGAAATTAAGACAACATTGTTAAGACAACAAGACTAGAATGCAATAAACATGTGCCATTTGCATACTCGTTGCATGTGGCTCCATTCTTCACCTGTTCAACCAAAAGTCAAGTCCCTCAGTTCAGGGATGGTGCATGAAGGTACTTTTAGCTCCCACCTAAGTCATCTGATTATGCCGGTAACTCTCTACAGCATTTGGCAGCCATTTCACTTAACTTTTGAAAACAAATCAAAACAGGAAACTATGGCATCTTTGCAAGAACAGGGTAGTGAAAACAAGAAAATATTGGCAAAATAGTTTCTATCACTCATATTTAAAAGATTCAATTTGATTCTAGCAGGAAGGGTAAGATTATAGAGATAAAAGCGCCATTTGGCCTTAACGTTTTTCAAGACAGAAATGCTATGAGGGTTCATATGGGGGTGGCATTGGGCTGGGTGGTGGTTTGAGCGTGGAGGTGGGGAGGCTGGAACAGAGCTGACTAAAAACAAAAGCAACAGTATGAACAATATTTATTTTTATCTTGTATTTTTGAGACTGGAGCCTGATAGCTTTCTGATCTTCCATATTTGACAGGGCTGGAGTCTTATTTCCAAGGTAATAGTTATCATCTACTTGGAGAATTACACCTGTGACGACAGGAACGATAAAGGTTTTTGAGAAAACTCAAGAACAGCACAGACCCCAAATTAACAAAACTCTGATCTTTGTTCTTTGGATTATCATGTGGTCTAATTGGACTCAAACATTTATATGGGAGTTTTGAGATGATTTTACCCGACGGTTCTTAACTAGAAACAGATTTTAAGAGTAAGGCAGCACTGGACACACTCTACTTCTCTTGCTGAGCACTACTGACAGCATCTAATTATTTTTATTTCAGGTGGGAAAAGCAGAGGCCCAAGAGAAAAGATCAAATGTCCAAGGTCACTTTGTCATTAGTAGCAGAATAGAATTAGAAATAAGAAAGGACTCTTCCCCCAGGATAGCATCCTTTCCACCTTACACCTGAATTTACGTAGATGGTGCAGCATAGAGCAGCATCTTATCAATGGTGTTGCCGAGAACTTCTGTCTTCATCCCTGAGTGACGTCAGCTCCCAATCTTTGGTGTCTCAGCTTCCTAACTCTTATCTTGACCAGGATTTGGGCATAATTAGACTTACATGTGAGATCGTTACAAATAGATTTTATCTAATGGGACAACACCAAGAGATCGGGAGTAAGAGACCATCAGGTGCCACGCAGCTCAACAACGGTGCTGTGTACAATTACTGATGTCCGCGTGCGTGAGGAGTGGTGGGGGGTACTAGTGTTCTGACGTCGGTCTGTCCCTTAGCCCCAGGAAGTCTTATATTTCTAGAGATAAAAGATCCAGGCACTGGAGAAGTTTTTTTTTTTTCCAGAAAACTTCACTCAAGTTCCTCCATGAAGACGGAAGCCTGATATTTTAAAGAGCTAGCAGTGGGGGAGTCTGGTGCCTTTTTATAATTTGTACTGGTTGCTCTTCAGTTCTGGTTCTTCAGCTGCTCTGACAGCATGGAAATTAAATAATTCAGAAGTTCTCTTCAGAGCTGGATGCTCCAATTGCTTCCACTATTAATATTACTAGGAATGTTTTAAGTTTAAGAAAATATACACTTAAGTGTACTTCAAATTATCCACCATGATGGTGGCAGTGATAAAGGGGGGACAATAAGGCTATCCATGATTAGCTTGAAACTATATATATATATTTTTTTTTAATCAGAAGCAGAAAATTTAACATTGACAAAATATATTAATTCATCCACCATTCATTTTTAAAATTTGCCAACTGTCCCAAAAATGTATTCTATAGCGATTGTTTTTCCTGGTCCGGAATCCAATTCAGAATCATGCATTGCATTTATTGTCACGTAGTCTTCAGTCTTCTCTAATCTGGAACAGCTCCCCAGGCCTTCTTGGTGTCTTTTGATTTTGGCAGTTTTGAAGAGTATAGGCTGGTCAGTTGAACAGTTAAAACTATATTTTCAATATTCATGATTTTAGAAAGGACTTGTGGAAATTAGTCCATAAAACTCTCAAGTAAATAAAGGTGATATTATGCAAGTATGTTCATAATTGCACTATTTGTAACAGCCCCAAACTGGAAACTTCTCAAGTGCATCCACAATGGAACAGAAAAATTGTAACATAGTCACAACAGAATACTATTCAGCAATGAGAAGGAAAGATCCACAGTCACATGCAACATAGATGAATCTCACAAATGTAAAGCTGAGTGAAAGATGCCAGACAAAAAAGAACACATGCTGACTGATTCTATTTACATAAAAGCCAAAAACAGGCAAAACTAATGTTTGATATTAGAAGTCAGGCCAAGTCGGGGAGGGTATAGCTCAGTGGTAGAGTGCCTGCCTAGCATGAACAAGGTCCTGGGTTCAATTCATCTGTTTAATAAATAAACCTAAAATTACTTTCTCCTCATTAAAAAATTTTAAAAAAAGAAAAAGAAAAAAAAAGTCAGGCCAGTAGTTGTCCTTGGAAGAGTGACGTGACAGTTGAGAAGGGCTTCTGGAGCACTAGGGATGTCCTACTTCTCATAGGTCCTGGCTACAGGGGGGTGCTCTGCTGGAGAAGGTTCACTGAGCAATACACTTAAGCTTCATGAAATTTCAGTATACATGTTATACTTCAATACTACTTCGAAAAAACACGTTAAGTGGGCATTTTTCAACAGGCAGAAAAACCAGCACTCCTATTTTGGATATTCCTTCATTTCCATGTTTTGTTAAGAAAAAAATAAGGCTTTTGGACCTTTTTTGTAAAATATTAATCAAGTAATGAAATGAATTAAACTAGCCAACAGGACAGGAAAAGAGAACATAAAAGCCTCAAGAGACGAGCTGCCATCAGGGGCTGCCATCCCCCTCCCAGAACCCTACACGAGTTAGGATTTTAGAAGCAGGCCCACTGGATGCACCGGAGTCTCTCATGTCTATTCAGAAATGCACTTTCCAAAGCTAGATGGCTGGCACAATAAGCTTAGTGAGTAATGAATTCATAATTTCCATTTATTATCAAAATACTTCCATCAGATGACAAACCTGAAGAGATAAGGAGACGCAGAGCTACAAAGATGCGGTTTTGCCCTTTTCTCACAGCCACCTTCAAGGACAGATTTAATTTAGAAAATCCTGCTTGTAAACCACAACTCTTAGGTATCTTTAGACCACTGTCCCATGGCAATTTTTACCCCAAAGTTTATGCTTAAAGCTTTTCATCAATATGGTTTATAAGTTTAAAAAGTCTCAAATCTTCATCTGTGATATACAGATTTTGGTTCATAACTCTATCTCAGTCTGAGGTTCAGTATTCAACGGTTACCTATAATAACAATCCCTTAGTCATAAATGTCATTAATAATTAAATATAAAAATTATGTATACATTACTACAAATCTCTTAAAAAGGCCAAGTTTTGAGAGAGAGAGAACAAGAAGTTGCTTAGAAAACTGCAGGGAGCCTCAAGAATCTCATGATCAGTCAAAGCAGGAACAGCAGAAACCGTTTCAGACGTTCATTTTAGCCCTAAGAGTGCTTAAAACACAAAGCTCTCAGAATGAATAACTGATGACTGGCAAAAATGGATTAAAACTACATTAAGTCCCGAGGCCCCACTATGTATAAGAGTTCTTTGGAAGAGTCCTGAAGGAGTATAAATGTTGTAAGTAAAAGTAAAAATAAGCACATAGGCAATGGATGTTTAACTCTCACATGGGTGCTGTGCTTTTGGTGCCGAATGAATTCCTCAACCTCTTCTTTCTCCCTGTGATTAGAAATCCCGGTCATCAAGAGACAACATCAAACTGGCAGATCATATGAGAAATAGAAATGAACGGTAGTATTATCTTTAGATATTAAGTATTTACACAGTGAGCAGTGATTGATTTGATAGACATTAGACCCCTCCACCCTCCACACCTTTCCCAGCATAACCTAACTTCATTTTATCACAATGCTCTCATCTCTGTGAATGACCTCCATGTAGTTACTGTGACTTCTCTGGCCCTTTTTTTCTTGGATAGAGCTCCCCATTTCTGTGATGTTGGCAAGTCTAGCCCAGGGCTGCACTGCTTCTTCTGAAGATTACCAAACCCGGCATTTCTTTTCTGGATTCATGTATGAATTCTTGCGGCAGTGAAAGGCTTCTGAAAACTCAGGAGAGTTCTGCAAAGTCCCAATAATCCTGTAATTACAAACAAAAAAGAGTCACCATGAGAATTTGATACTCATATCCATACCACATAGGAGCTCTGTAGACTTTCTTTGTAAAAGCCAAGAGAATGGGTTTGGAAGTTTCAGTTTAAAAGGGAAAAACTCTTAGAATGAACCCATTCCTTTTCAGTAACAGAATTTTTAAGTGGAGATGTAGTAAACTATAGGACTTAAGAGCACCAATCTTGAAACCAGACTGCCTGGTTTGAATCCTGGTTATGAACTGTATTTATTTGGCCTCTCTGTGCCTCAGTTTCCTTTTCTGTAAAATGCATATAATAGTACTTGCATCTTCAGGTTGTCACAGGAAGTTAATTTATCAACACTCTATATGTGTTTGTAAGATAAGTGAATAATTCATATTTGGGATTGCAGTTATAAGAAAAGTTTGGTCAAAGAATAAAATCATGATTTCTTACTTTATCTTAAAAGGGCTCACACAATAGCTTTCAGTATATCAGACTTCAAGTAGATATTTGTTGATTTGATTTAATAGGGAAGATAATTATTTTCTTTATTCGCAAAAGAACCCCATAGATATCAGAAACTGGATTCAGCCTGAGTAACTGGAAAGGCTTGGCAAATGCCAATTTCCTCTAATCTCTGACCCCAGTGGGCAAAAACAACACTGTCCAACTCACTATCAGCACCAAGCAGCATTGGAGGGACAGCCAGGTCAGTACAATGAGGCAGAGGGATGTTTTCCCATCAACCCTGAACCAGCCCCTTCCCTTCTCTCCCCCAGGAACTGCCCCGCCCTCACCACAGCCACCTTGGGCTGGGGGCCAGGGGCTGGGCAGCAAGCAGCCTGGACCGCTGGGAAGTCTTGGAGTTGGTGCTAATTTGCTGAGATCTCCCCACCTGGCAGACGTGTGAGCGTGTATGAGTCCGAGCATTTCTCTCCCTTCTAATCCACTCTTCATACAGTGGTCAGAGTGAATTTTAAAATTTAAGTCAAGTTCCATAATTCTCTTAATTAAAACCTTCCAGGGGCTTGAAGGCTATTCAAACTCCTCTCCATGGTCTCCAGCATCCCGGTGGCTCCAGTTACCTTCCACGCCTCCTTACGGTATCTTTCTCTTCTTGATCCTCATGAGGTTCAAACCACACTGATCCACTTTCCATTCCTCAAACTAGCCCAGCTCTTTCCCTCTTCTGGGCCTGCTGTCCCTGCCGACCCTGCTCCCTGGAAATTTCCTCCCCCATAACTACATAGCTAACTCCTTCCCAGCCTTCATGCCCCCACTGTAACATCCCCCCCAACCCGAGGCCTTCTTGGAACACTGTCCACATGAGTTCCCCTATCTCTGCCCACCCCCCAGCCCTATCAGAGCACTGAGCACAATGTGCAATGATTTGTTCTCCTTCTGTAACTCCCTGACATACCCTCCACACTGTAACCACTATGAGAGCAAATACCAAGTATACCTTGCTCCCCGCTGCAGCACCAAAGCTCAGCACAGTGCCTGGCATATTGCAGGGCTCCGGACATAACGACCAAGCCCATCCCCCGGCCGTGGTGATTACAGGCAGAGTTATAGGGCATTACAGAGAAACACGCTGTTCAGTGTTTTTGGTTTATTTGCTACTGTAGACCAGCTAGAGAGAAAGAAAGCATTTCCTTTCCCCACCTCCACTCCATATGGATTTTCTAAGTCTGACTTCCTAATGTCTCATCCACCACAACATCAGCTCTTTCTCAGTCTCCTACCCGCTACAACTCCCCTATCCTTTAGGAAGGATGTAAACATTTTTGGTTGTATGTTTTTGAGAACTCTTAGAGAAGTCTCAAAGATGGAAAGGAATCTTCCTGGTATGATGGGGTGGGGGAGCAGCTGAGGTGGGGAGGGCAGAGCAGAGGAACTTCCATGTATGGGTCCACTTGAGGGGGGGAAGACTGACTTTCCCAAGCCTGAAGAGGGGCCCAGGAACGCCAGTTTGTGTGAAGAGCAAGGACACGCCTCTCACTCTGAGAGGAGCCCCGAGGGGATCTCTGATGGGATGGCACGTGTCTGTCGGGGACGCTCCTGCGGCCGTTGACCATAACCAGTGGAAGGAAATGGAGTCACCCGACTTCAGACAGGGCAATCGGACTTCTAGCATGTCAACAGTGACCATGGCAGGCTGGAGAAGGAAGTTATTCCCTAATTTCTAGGCTCATGAGATGCCACTGGATTCCTCTATGGCCCTAGAAAGGAATACTCTGAAAATGACTGGAATTAGATTTCTCACTTCCTGGCTTAGGGTGGGAGCTTAGGGTTTAAATTAATATGATTTCTTACACATGAAAGTTCAAAAACAAATTCACTTGATATATGATCTATGATCATACATATAAGAATAAAAAGCCTTTAGACATCAGAAATTTATATTAGCATTTAGTCTTTAAGATTCTAGGTTAACAGACTCTGGGAGTTAGAGAGGGGCTATGATTCATTTAATCTAATCCTCGAAAAAAAAAAGAGAGAAAAAAATTTTAAAAAGTTTCTTTTGTATAGCATAGGGAACTATGTTCAATATCTTGTAATAAACTTTAATGGAAAAAAATATAAAAACAAGTATATGTATGTACATGCATGACTGAGATATTGTGCTGTACACCAGAGATAGACACATTGTACTTGACTGTACTTCAATTAAAAAAAAAATCCTCTTCCCACATTAAGAAACCCTATTAGCTGACTGAGGGACAGTATGATGGTGGTCTGACTGTTCCTCAGACTGAAGAGCAAGCTCCCTGATGGACAAGGTAAGCATTTGACAATCATTGGCTGGTAATTAACATTTTTTCAAAGGACTGTGTCTTAAATATCACCATATGGGGATAAGCACTTCAGTGAAAAATGTCCTAACTGATGGCTTAATTCTGTTTCTCTTAAAAATATTAAAGAAACAAAAACACACACACATACACCTCAAAACAAGAAAACTTTAACCCCACACCACTGGGAGTTGGCCACGCAGCAACACTCAAACTAACCCACATGCCCTCCTTCTCCATTCTAGCTCCTCTCTTTCCTTCCAAAGACTTCAATTTAGATAATTTAATTCTGAATAATCAGGTCAACAACGTACTAGGGCTTCACTTACTTTCCTAGGACTCTAATTAGTGTTACATTGTTTATAACATCAAATCTTTGGATGGATTTCAAAAATAGTCTATTTTAAAAAGTGGATACATTATTAATTAAATTGAAGCTCTTCTCTAAGAATGGGATCATATTTTATTAATATTCTTACAGGAATCTCATGTTACCTGAAAGCTGTAGTTTTTTTGTTTGTGTTTACAATAACAGAAGATAATACTTTTATTGGTGATGTCTTAATCTACTTGAAATTTTTACTTTATTATACCAAGCGTTTTATCACAGTGCTGCTGTTTATTCCCTTGGCAAATAATCACCTGTACTGAAAATATCTAAAAGACATGGTGTTGAACATCCTGTAACCAAGAATGGACTTTATATCCTATAACATATCTGACTACTCCTGCCTGCAAATAACTTTTTTAAATTACAGAATGAGCTTTTTTGCAATTAGTGAGTTCTCTGACAATATCTGATTACTTCTTTTAAATAAATGACTTGTCTACAAGGTGTTCATAGATAAACTATCCAATCTTTATCATTAACTAATGTTCATGGTCCTTTTAAAGTAAGGTCACTTTGATCAGCATATGTTCCACTGAAATTCATGAAGAAATAAATGTCTGAATAGATTCCCAGGTATAGCCCAAAGATTAGTAAGTGTTTATAGCAGTTCTATGAGGCCCACCAAAATTCACATCGTTTGTAAAATACCAGAAACCAATGCTAATAAATGGAGGAAACAGCAGTATTTCAAAGAGGGTTTGGCTTAGGCAGGTTAAGTCATTGAAGCATAAGAAACAAAACAGCCATACAACTTGAAAACTTCTACATAAAACATTAGAAAGACTTTTCCTTTAGAAGTACTAGAAATTAAGCTGTGGAAAACGTTTCTTGTATTATTAGTGGCATTAATTCTCTCAAGTGCCCTTTGTTCTTACTGGAAGCTGATCTCAAGCAACCTAAGTAAATTAGCAGCATTACTTTCCAGGTAGCTTAGACATTGGTGTCATTTTGTCTACTTGAACTTGCTTTAAAAGTGATCAGGTCCTTATATCTCATACAGAAATATTATATCTGAATAACTTTAGAAACACATTTATAGATAATACGGTAAATATTATCATAGCAACCATTCCCTGAAGTGACTGTAGATGGCTAACAAAAACTGGATTTCCTAAAATAAGTCATTTAAATTGCAAATTCAACTTCTACAATACAAGGAGAAATGTTTTTGTTTTAAACACCAAAGTTTTAGAAGCTTATTTGAAAATACGTAAAACTTTAGTTAGGAAGAATAAAACAATTATAGATTAGACCTAACATGGTTTTATAGAGTCAGCTTTATAGCAAATATACTTTGCCTTTTGTTTTTAATACTGTGGTTATTTAAGCATAAGGTTACAAAATCTCCCTCTGTTTCAGAAGAGTTTCTGCAGAAACCACTATGCACAATTTTTCAACAGCAACTCAGTATCTTATTAGTTTTTAAGTTTCTTTAAAAACATGTGTTTTACTTTGTACAGCCAGGAAGCAGCCTGTTACCAGAACTAAATGTGACTTCAACCTTTTGCCAAGGAAATCCTTTTACCTCCAGTAAAAATAATAATTTCCTTGACAAAAGGTTGGCATTCCACTTACCCTTTAAAAAAATCAACACATACTTCTCTTATTATGAATGAAAAATAGTCAAAGAGGCATCTTTGGGGCCAAAACAAAGAAAATGACAGGTATAAATAATTTTATATATTTATAATAAGGTACTCAGTTTAAAATTGGGGGTAGAAAACAATTACATATTTACCTAAATTATCACTTAACTGGTGATTAGTTATTGACATTTTGAACCATGCAGACATAAGAAATGAATAAAAAAAAAAAGCCCTTGACTGTCAGCTAATATGAAATGTTGCAAAATTCATACACATTTTTTCATAGATATTCTGTTCATATTTCTCTAATCTAAAAGTAATTCTAGTGCTACTTTTCAAATACATATATGTAATAGGTACTTCATACACAGTAACATTAATCCTCCTAGGAACTATCATAGTAATTCAATCCTAATTTTATATATCAAGAAATGGAGACACAGAGGTTAAAGATCAGCTTGTAAATGGCAGAGCCATGGCTGAAACTCAAATGTTTCTTAATTCAAAGCTTGCATTCATTTTTTACCATAAAAGTCTTGAGAATATGTTTTCTGAGCTAATCGAAATGGAGGAATGGGACAGGTGAAGACAGACAATATAGTAAAAAGAAAGAGAAAAACAGAAAAGACCTAATAAATAACCACAATGAAAAGTTAAGAAGTATCACCATCAATGGCTCTGTAGTGTAGGAATAAATAACTCCACATATTATAGCTCCTAAGGATTTTACAAATCTAGTAAAAGTGAAAAATAAGTAAGTAAAAGTGAAACCATAAGTAAGTCATAACAGTAGTCTGTGTCATCAAGAAAAAGAAAGCTCAGGTTTTGTTCAGGATACTGTGTTAATAAGGCAGGAAGCTAGAAAATTTATTTTAGAGAAATTTTAATCCATTGG